CTAAACTAATTTATGTGTATTTAAAGTTTAATGTATGTATTAATTTTATATTTTTCATTTCATTTTTTTTAATTATATAGAATATTTCAATTATTTAAGTATAAGCAAATAATAATAAATTTAATAATAAAATAGTATAAAAAAAATCATTTGCTTATTCAATTAAATATTTGCAAATAATAAAAATATATTATTCAATTATATTAAATTATATTTAAGTTTATTTATTTAATTTATATTATTTGTATTATATTATATAACAATTATATATTGTTTATATAAATAATACCCAAGTTTGACTGACACTATATATATTTATAAATATTCAATATATGTACTCAATAAATTTAAAATCATTTTTTGAATCTTATTTACAAAAATTTTATTCTATATTTTCTATTTATTTTTATATGAAAAATTATTAGCTTTATTTATACTATTATGATTGAAATATTTTGTACTATAATTACATTCATAATATAAATTTATCTTATTATATTGAAACATATATTAAATGATATATTTATAAAATTACTTTTTTAAACACAATACCCATTCCAGCTTTATAACGTAAAAGTTTTTCAGCTCTTTCCTTTTTTTTCAATGCTTCTTGTTCTGCAGTTGTTCGAACTTTTACTCTACCATGCTGAAAATTAATTTTTTCATTAAAATAATTTTCATTGAATATAAGTATATCAAAAAATATTAAAATACATAATATAAAATATTAAAAATTATATAAAATGATCAAAATATATACAAAAAATGAAAAAAATATTACATTTTAAAACAAAATATTTAATATTTTGTTATTTATAATATGTATTATTTATTATTTATATTATTTATTTATTAATGATATTTATATTTAAATATTAATTCATAAAAACAGTGATTAAATAAAAATAAAATAAAAAATATATTTGAAATAAAGAATTTTTATTACCATACTGAATATTTTTTAAATCTTCTAATTATATTTGAGTTTTATTTAACTTTAAGGTTAAGTTAGCTTATTATTTTCTTTATATTCTTTTAATTGTATTAATAAATAAATATTTTTAAAATGATAGATATAATATTCATTCTTGATATTTAAAATAAAATTATAAAAATGTTTAATTTTATTTAATTTTATTTCATAAATCTAGTTCAATTACTTTGTATTTTTAAATACTAATTAATAAACTCTGTGTGTGTGTGTGCGTGTGTGTGCGCGCGCGTGTGTGTGTGTGTGTAAGCATGCACAAATATTCATGTATGTGTATAAAAATTTGATTATATTTTTAAAAATCTATTTAATTTAATAATTAATATTAAATTTGACAATTTCAATTCTTTTTTCATAGATGTAAATAGACACGTGTATACTACCGATTATAATTCAGATTCTGTGTGCGCATAATGTATGTGTTCATGCGCGCGTGCGCATATATGTATGTATTATGTAAGCTTTAAATTTATTTGTCATAAAATTCGTAGTTGGATATCAATTATTAATAATACAAGTGAATAAAAAATTTGTAACTATTAAATTTATTAATATTATTATTTTTATTTTAATAACAAATTGAAATAAACATATCCAAAATAAATAAATTAAATAAATTAAATAAATAAAATAAATTTTTATATAAATATATATCATAATTTATAAATAAATAATATTATATGTGAAAAATATAATCAATCAAAGTTAATTATAATTTTATATATGTAAATAATAAGTCATATTAGTTATGTATTTATTTGTTTACAATCTACAAACAAAAATACGAATTTCTGTTGAACACTTCTGATAATATTCCAATTTATTAATGATCCATTATGTATTAAAATGGCAATGAAGTGTGATTAATATTTGAATATAATCTTTTTTTTTGAAGTTTTGTGATTATTAATAAATGCAAAATAATTTGTTTAATAATATTTAAAATAACTAATTTATTTTAACGTGTGTATATAATAAGACTCTATGATGTCCATATTACAAAGACTGTCAAAATTACCTCAAAATTTATATTGTTTTGCAAATATTCAAAGATATCCAAAACGAAATGAAAGTTTTTTATCTGCATCTCGACAATCTTCATTATTGAAAACAATATTCAAAGCAAGTTTAGTAGGAATTTCTATCGGATTTCCAGTTGGTATAATTATTACAACAGGTTATTCTTGGTATATAAATAAAAAAGCTGCAAAAACTTATCATTTAGAAGGGAAAGAAAAAAAAATTAAAATACTCCAAGAAAAACCATCAGTACCAGTTTCTAGAGAAGTACATCGAATTTAAATATAATTTTTAAAAATATTAAAGTTATATTTAAAATATTGATTTATATATTCGATTTTAATTTTTCTGTTTTTGTGAAATATTATTTTGTTATTTTATATTATTTTATATTATTATATTAATATATTATATCTATTCAAAATTTTATAATTTTATATTAAATTTTATA